CTTATCACAAAGAGTAACAACAGGGATATAAAGTCCTTTTTAACCCTCAATTGTTCAAACCTCCTGACTATTCCAAGGAATCTCGGTTTGCGCTCTCAGCAAAAAAGTTAAAAAGTTTCTTTTTTCCTCTTGGTCGTTCGAAACCTTACCCTAGGTAGACACTAGGTCGTTCGTACTTTGTTTAAGGTAACTCGTAGCTCAAAAATGTGTCATTGTTTTCATTTTCATTCATGTCAATCGATTCATTAATGATGAGGGGATTTGGAGAGTGATTATTTAGGTGACTCTATGCAGGATTTTATTCAACTCTTAAATCTTTTAAATTACTGCCCTATAGGCCCGTACCTCTCCCAAGACTGTCCATAAATCCTCTGTTTTTGCATTAGCGTACTCAAACTTTTCCAAGTAATGCTGGAAAGAAACACGAATCAGTCTCATTACAACAATAAAAATGTCTCTTCCAATGCTCCTGTAAAGGGAGTGACCATACTTGCATGTCTCCCATCAGTCAAGCAGTAAGCTCTATTCCCTCACCTTTAATCCTTTCCTAAAAACTTCTTTTCCAAGATAAGCCTCTAGCATACGTAGAATACACGCACCCTAAAATAAATGAAAACATACAAAATGGTCGATTTGTCGATGTCGTCCATTGTCCATTTGTTTCTTTTTAACAGCTAGAAAGCCGATTTCAACCAGTGCCATATGCATTATCTTTACCATCTCTTTCGCACAGAGCTGTAGTTTGGTCAGATTAAAATGTGATCGCAAAGGCGATTGCATACATGATAAGTCGGAGTACCTTTTCGTATGTGATGGAATCAAATATCTGGCTGATGTCTTCCGGCCTTGTTATCGGAATTCGTATCGGATGGGAATTGGCCAAGCTATCTTCTGCAAATGCCGCTGACATATCAATTACGACCACTTGATCATCCTGTGTAAACAGAGGACTCTTCAGTTCATGTCATCGTTCAAATGTACTAATGTATGTCCTTTACTTACAATTTTCCATTCTGGGTGAATGTAATCCATGGCCGGGAATTCCATAAAACTAGCAAATCCTTCGTTTAACCAAAAGTCATCCCACCATTCCATCGTGACAAGGTTACCAAACCACTGAAAATGGATCGGTATATGACAGCATAATATGAATAACGCTCAAGGTAGGGAAACTGATTATATCAATACAATAACTATTATAGTCCTAAGAGCATAAAAAGTAACTTTAAAGTAACAGTTACACAACACATCTCCGTAATTGGCCTTAACCTGTACGCATGCGCACAGCTCATTACTCAATAGCCATGGACGGCTATTTTGTCCTTGTTAGAAATCATCAGCACAGGCATATCATGAGGCAGTGAATGAGACTCGAAAGCCATGTTCCTTAAAACCTTTCCCCCCTGAGTCAAACCAGAAAGCAAACCAAACATAAGGGAGCTGTGGTTGGAAGTGCATGCTACTATGCCAGGGTGATATGCTATGGTTTGTATGCCATACTGACGAAGCTGATGGTAACCCGTCAAAGTGTCAATGTTATGTTATGTTGCGGTTACCTGATGAGCAAGTTCATGAGACACGACCTCAGCAACCCTCTGTTTATTGGCAGATGAGGATACATTTGGTTTGAAGAGCAGATTCCAATCCCTGTAGGTTATTAGTCCCCAGTTCTCCATTCCACCGAAAAGGAAATTAGGAATGGCGATCATATCTGAGAGAAAGTGAGAAGATCAACAGCTAGTTGGGGGACGGACTTCGCTCCAACTGAGTACAGTCCGTATATAATTGTTGCCAGTATTCCGTTAGTCCTTGAAACTTGAAAACTGCACCTGATTTACACACAGTATAAAATGGTAGTTTCCAGTAAATGTGTTTTGTCTTATCTATAGTTGTTTGATAAACCTTGTTTGTTATTTCACAGGGGGATATGTTGGTTTAAAATCATGTAACGACATGCTTTTTATTTTATTATCTTCACTCTTGTATGATTAGAATGTCATATAGTTTGATTGTTCGACGTCTCACCTGACTTTGGTAATGCATATTTTATCTCAAAGTAATCTTCATAAAAAGTAAACAGTTTATCCGTGATTTTGGACGCATATTCCACTTGATCAATTTGTTCCAGAGGCGCGTACATTCTAACCTGGAGAATACAGAGAGAAAATTGCAAAACATTTCAACATAAGTTTTCTTAAACAAGTCACCTAACATATAAACAGGTCTTAATAGGAAGTTACTGAAACTAGAATGAGTTAATTTGCAAGTTCAGAACATTCCGATAAAAACATTTGTTACCGTTTACTTTAATATTAACAGACTAAACCCTGAAGGACTATTAGGCCGGCTAAACACTATACCACTTTTGTTTTCACATATTCAACGGTTTCAGGAAATTTGACAGCCTCTTGTACTTATCCTGATTTGCTGATTATCAATGTCAGGGATCTCTCAAATATCCTTATCTATCTAGGTCAGGTTGTGTTCTCGTTTAAGACCGATATTCTCCCTCGAAAATTTGAGAGCATATTCACAATAAACAACCAAATCCATTGTTACAATACAAGGCATGCAAACTCCTTTCGTCTACTATTATGTAAAACAAATATCCGGCATTTCTTCGTATTCTATCGAGGTCCTAAATTTTTTAATTCTCTTTCACCTGAAATTTCACTGGCATCTTTTAGGAAAAACTTAAAGCGTATATCATCGGTAACTACTACCTCTTTCATTAAATAAGGCTTGTCATTAATTACTTTATCTAAATTAGTCATATGGTGTTTCTTGAGAGGGAACCTAAGTTTACATGCCCTGTGGTTTTTATTAGGTTCCCTCGCCATTTTGTTTTCTATCCTTTAATGTAATATATAAATTGTAGAGAGAAGGAAAACAGTTCCCACCACGTGTGGTCTGCGCAGTTTCCGGGTAGTTGCATGGAGGGACTGGTTGAATGACATCAGCCTACTAATTTTAAATAGTAGTCATACTAACACAAGAGCCACAGGAGCCGCAGCGTACCTTTTTTGCGTCTTTCGTCAGAGTGAATTCAGTATACTTAAAATCACACACGGCAAACGCTACCAGATAAGTGGACATGAGCACAGACTTCTCGAATTTATCGTATTTCCATCCATCCTTTTCGTCAGTTTGATAAATAGGCATATTGGAAATGGAAATCAAACCAGGGTCATGGACAAGGGTTACATTGAAGGTCGCCTTCATAGCGGGCTCATCAAAGCACGGAAAAGCTTTACGAGCGTCTGCTGGGGAGAACTGAGTTGCCGCCACAGGTCTACAGAAAGAGAAATGTGGAATCACTACCCGAAACTTAAAACTGTAAAAGACAGAATTTATTGCAGGTTTATTTTTTCCTCACTTATTCGAACGAAATACACACGCAGCACTGATAGGTAATGGGGAAAAATTTTACTCAGTGCTTGTCCTTAAAAGAGATTTTTCAAGTTGGCCTTTCTAAAACCTCCCTAACCCCTCCTTCCACAAAAACACACAAATCCTCAAAGTTGCTTGAAAGAAACAAAAAATGGGTGGTGGTGGCTTTATAAACGAATGTAGGCTTCTTGAGCTACGTAGAAAGTTCTCCTCTTGACTGTAAATCAAAGTGAAGTGGGGGTCAAAAATTTTAAGTTTTCAAGCGACTAGCTTGGGTAAATTGAAGATCGGCACATGCGCAAACCTAATCGCTCCAAAAAATAATGAACTGCCTACACAATTGTTCCGTCTTTTCTTGTGTAATTCATTCTGTAGAATCCTCCCAGCTCTTCTCTTAGTTCAGATTTAAACGCCATATTAATGACATATTCCCCTGGTTGAAGCCAGGTTTCCATCTGGATGACGTAGAACTGGTTCTTCTCAAACAGGAAATGATTCTTCACGGCTATTTCTGCTAAAGGAATTAATTAAGCTTTAATACACATTTGCCTTTAAATAATAGTTTCCTTTAGTTTGTCTTCTTAACAAGACTACCTCGATTCTATCAGTACCTTGTGAAATTGTAAAAGATAGACTAAAATACATGTAAAAATTCGAGCACAATACTCCGCTACCAGATCTAACTGGGATAGGAGATAATTAAGATCATGGATGAGTAGAAACGCTACTTTTTAATTATATTATAATGTAGATAGGATTCTGTGCACGCTTTCCCTTAATTGGCTAAAAAGCTTAAAAAATTCCGAGAAATTTTCTCGGAATTTCGAATTCATTTTGAAGTCTTAGCAAATGGTTTACATCGTAAAATTAAGGAGACACTGTCAATACGGGATTTCAACCCACCCTCGAACGTCGGCAGCAAAAAACTGTGGCTTTATTAAAACCGCCCAGGTGTCACTACTTTAGGTTAATTATTGTCTAACTTTTTGCCGATACCTCGCTTTAAATTTAATTAATAAAGGTAATTCTTTCAATTTTGATAACCATTACTTCTAAAGATGTATGTTGTAGCATACGAAACGTCAAGCTAAATTCAAATTTTCTTCCAAAACCGAACGTTGTCCATATTTCATGTTTGTTACCTATCGCTAGTGTTGTGGCACCAAGCGCCATAGTAAGACCCCGATTGATAAATATCAATACAGTAGTGTTATTAGGCAGATCGAGAGTTTCATCGGACCACAAGTCAAGTTCTAGCCCGAGTCAAGTTATTATTTTTTACACTCCAAGATAAGTATTCATCGATATAAACGCCGAGAGATTTAGTGAATACGACTTGCTTTAGAACTGAAAGGAAAGGAGAGGAATCTATCGAAAGATCGTCATCCAGTACAAGTCTTTGTTTTAAGTGCGTAATAGCGTTACAAATAAAATTGAAGTTTACAACACCAGCCAACATCCGTCTATCATGACAAGGAGCGATCTAAAGAGGTAGTTCAGTAAATCGTTTATATAGAGTATAAACAGAGAGGATTTGATTTTTTTTTATATATATTTTTGAGAGGCAATTCCTGGTTTCCTTTGTCTAGATAAAATCTTCAACCAACTAGTCAGTTTTGTGAAAAATGATACCCTACTCTAGACCCAAAAGCTCTGATTTATATACCCTATCCTAGAGTAAACTACTTGAAAACCATACCCTTCACAGCGGCACATACCTATGTAGCCCATATATGGCAGTGCCTCCCCCCGGGGGGGGGGGCCGATTGACCGAAAGTAACACCTTGACTTATATAGTTGTTGGCGCTGCAACCAGCGCCAAGCGTGGGAAAAGACAAATTAGTAAGGCACCACTGGCTTAAGACCAGACCCTGGTAAAGCAGATACAAGGTGATCGCGGGATACGTTCCATCAGACTGAGTTATAAGAGACCTCGGCCTCGCACTTTCTATACCATATAGCTTACAAGGCATTGTGGAAAACATTAGACATATCTTTTTTAATTGATGTGATGATATACAGTTTTTTGAACAAATATTCTCAGATCACCCTCATTATCCTCATTAGATCATTATCCTCGCTTAGCTAGAATGTTTTAGGAGTAAAGCCTGATGTTTCAAACGGGTTAAAATAGAGTTCATAAAATCTTTGTTTTTTTATTTGGCTTTTAGGACAAATGAAAACCACTGCATAATTTATCATACCTTACAATGTTATTACTCCATACCTTATCTATTTTAAAAAGACTGTACTCACCACCGGAGGACTGATGAACATCTAATGACGTCACAGCTAACTTTTTGGTGTGTACCAATACATACTCCGTCGGTTCTTTCACCTCTATCAAGATACTCACGTGACCATTAAATAAAAACTTCTTTAAATCAACGAAGATAGTGAGGTCATAATGCTTTGGAGTGATATGTTTTGGCAGGCGAACATTCCACCAAACGCCAGTTCCAGGGGTAGACGGACCAGCAACTGTCGTTGGAACATTGATTTTCGGCTTTGACGTTCCTACAAATTTACGTCAAGTAAATATTGATTGCGAACATCAGAAGCTGATTCTCTTAGAAAATCGTTTATTTATGGCTGACCAGTTACTGTAATTTAAAGCTTATTCCACTTTGAGACACGCCTCACACAAGTTTAAAGTCAATTTTACCTTAATTAATAGACGCGAATGATCTCTTGCTGCTTATTGGATTTTTGCTGGATTTTTTTTAGTTCTAGCAAACTCAGCCTTTAAATAATTTTAAAAAAGATCCTAAACTATTATGCAAAGTAGGGGTAGGTATCAGTTTGTCTGCCGACCCTGATAGCCTTCAATTTCATGGTTTTGAAATACCATGCCACAGGAACGAAGTTTTTCTTAGTTAGATTTCGGTTCGTGACCCCCGCTTAACGAAATTGGAATATTCCTTCGATGTTCATGGTCTTAACGCCATTGAAGAGCCGCTGAGTCGTCGACCTACTCAATAAATAACTTACTCGTTCCATAAACTCTTTAACGCCACTGACGAGTCACCGAACCGTGGAGCCACTTAAATGTACACCCTAATCGTTCTATAAACTCTTATACGCCACTGGCGAGCCACCGAACCATGAAGCCACTCAAATATACACCCTACTCAATTTATAAACTCTTAAACGCCACTGACGAGCTACCGAACCACGGAGCCACTCACATAGACACCCTATTCGTTCTATTAAACTCTTAAATGCCACTGGCAAGCCAGCGAACCACTTCAGTATAGCTGCTGCCTATGTGGCCCTGTATATTGCAGTTGCTACACTACCTCTTAGTTGTAATATGAATATAGATCTGCAAATTAACTTTCGACACTTCGCACCTTTCCAAAAATATCACTGATGCTAGGTGCCTATTTAGACAATGTTTTGCATGTACACTGATTTCAGCTCTCCTGTCTTATAGTCGCGTTGAATGCAACTGATTTTGCTAGTGTTATGTTCACCGCTGTTCATACTTTGCATACTAGAGAACAGGAAACACATATCCATCTAATTCTTTTAGCCTCTGTCTAGGTTCAGTGTTTCCAGTGTTACCAAGTTGGTAATGAATACTGTCCTCTGAAACCATCTATGACAAGTACTGATACAACAAAAGCAGCCGCAAAATGGCGACAAAGAGAACCAAGATAGCTAGTAATTAGTATTTGTTGAGCAATCTTAGCATAAATAATTATATTAAGGCGGTTGTTGCAGCAGGCGTCTGTTGTGATTATTTTTCATCTGTTCTTGGTAACTGTAACCTAAATGATATATGTAATTCGAAATACTGCAAGATACACGGAATTGTGTGTACTGGTTGTACAAGGCATGTGCACGTGCCTACTTAAATTCGACGCTAACAAGGAAAGCACACCCATAAATTAATTTTTTGTTACAAGTGTAAGAAGCAATATTCGCATAACGACTTTAATGTCGTTCAGTATCTTGGAACGTTTAAATAATAATCTTAAAAGAAATCTCGTTACTTGCCTCTGTTTCCTTCTTGTAAAGGGCATCTTTCTTTACCGAGCAGTGAGCCCAACACAATAACTAATATGATAAGAACTACAATCAACGCAACCACTGTTGCGATCACACCTCTACTAACGAACCTCCCCTGTGCAGCAGCATTTGTCCTGCAGTCAGGACCTTGCATTCTGAATGAGTCAGCTCTAAGAGGTTTCTCCTCTTGGCTTTTTGCATTCATCGCTAGTTTGCCTGGGCCTGCAGAACCAGCAACGAGCAAAATCAAGTTTTCAAACGACGCCAGCCGAGGCTTTGTGTTGCATTTAGCGCTATATTGTTACGTTTGAATGCAAATAGCCTCGAGTGAAATTCCAAGGAATCATTAGAATATCATTGGACTCGAGTCAGGAAACGAAGTACTACAGGTGTCGTCAAAGTTTTAAAAAAATAATTGGGCGAAAGTCAATAAACTGAACGAACATTCACTGACTTAATTAGAAGACAGCAGAGAGAATAGAGGCTTTCAACAAAAAACTGAGAACAAGAAAATACACCGGATCAATAAAGTTGGTTAATTGCTCCCTGCGAGTTATAATGGTTGGACACAATTTGCCGCTTTGTTTGTAAGAAAAAGCGCCATGAAAACAGATAGGCTATGAATGAAGCGAGCTTAAGAGAAGAAAGATCAGTATTATTTCCTCATTTTGGTAACTAAAAAGGTGAACTTCTCAGGCTTTGGAAGTATCTCAAAACTAATTCGATTGCCTGCGTAGAAATTATTGTATACCTAATACTTCCTTTGTCACTGAAATCTAATGAGCAGTTCTGATTCGCGGGTTTGTTTTCATTTTGTTTTTCATGTTTGACAACACGAAACAAATTCTGTACAGGAAGTGTGTGCGAACGGAGAATAGTTATCCATTCACTATTTCTTAGCAAGTGATACCAGCTTACATTACAAAGACACACAACATGACACACGAGTTTTCTCCGCTTTTTCTGTTTCTCTTCTCCCAGAGCGATCCCCACTATTTTTAGCCGGTCGGGGCCTATGAGGCAGAGTACTAAGGGCCGATTTACTCGGTACGACTTTGTTGCATGCGACAAGCTTACGACAGGCCTACGACAGGACTTAGGACCATTTACACGCGTACGACATTTTCACTTACAAAATTAAATATGCAAAACTGTTTGCACCGGGATTTTCGGAGGGAAAGTTGCAACAAACAGTAAACAAATATTTTAGCTGTCCTGCGCTTTGAAACCTTCCTAACGAGATGTTTTTCGCTTTAATCCGTTCAGTACTTTTAGAGAAACGACTTCATGTGAATCAGTCAAAGTCTAGTCAACAACAACTTCGTCCGCCATTTTGACGCAAGAAAAGCTCTCCTTCGTCCCCTACTCAGTAGAAATTTTTAACAAAATACGTTATTTTCCATCGATTTCGGTTATGATTGTCACAGCGTTCTAAAACATGTTTTAAAATCCTACGATATTTTTTTGACGTACACAACAGTCGCAAGAGAGTTGTAGGTTTGATTTACACGAAACAATAGGCCCTTTGCACAATCCGGTCACATGGTACGGAATTAATTATGCTGGGACGCACGCTACACATGCAGTGGGACTTCCAAGACAAAGGAACTCTTATTGATGATAAATTGCGTCATAACATTGTCAAAGTTTAATGCGGAATTACAGCCACTTTGACAATGTTATGACGCAATTTATCATCAATAAGAGGACAGACGCATAAAAAACTGACGTCAATTTGTTTTTTTACAATAACAAGACCCCAAAATGGTCAAACGCCGGGAGTAAATGAGGGGAAAAGACGCCATAAACTTGCCGTAAAAAAAGATAAGTGAATTTTATTCAAAATGACGCAAACATTGTCAGTAGCTTTTCTCGCATTTTGATTGGCTACTTAATAAAAAAGTCCATAAAATTTCATTGGTTAAAAAGTTGACAGTTTGACCGCTGAAAATTGAACTTCAAAGCTTACATAAATTAAAATTTTATCCGTCTTTACTCTTATTGATGATAAAAATGAGCCGATCAGCGCGCGAGAAATTAGACAGTTATTGTAAAAAATAAAATTCTCGATCGTCATTGGTCCTCCGCGCACCTATTTGTCAGGAATGCTTTTTTGAGAATTTTAGACAACGATCGTGTGAAATTTGGTAGAATTTTAGAGCAATATTAGCATCCAGGTGGTAATTAGAAGCTAATTGGTAGCTAACTTATTACTCGATTCGCGCAAAGGTATTCACTTGAAGAACTTGTGATCCTTTGTTATTATGCTAATTTGTAGAGACTGTACAGAAATCAAATCTTCGCATTATTTATTTACTTTGCCTTGAGAATGGTGTCACGATGACGCCGAAACGTCACAGTGGTGTCAGTAGTTTCCACTCAAATTATGCCAACCGTGTTGGAAGCAAATACCGTAAATCCTCGAATTAGCGCCTACCCTCAAACAAGCGCCCCCTTCGAATAAGTGCCCCTCCTATCTGCCAAATTTAAAATAAGCGCCCCTCTCCCCTCTCCCTGTCTTATGGAAGAGTACTGAGACAACAGAGGATCTGTAGTATTGGTCGTGTTTAATCACAAGTAAGTGATTATCGACTTCTTCAAGCACTGCACATTGACAATCGCAATGGATGGTAGCGAAGATCCGCTAATTTATTGCCTAAAGCCCAGCTAACCTCTTGCAGGAAGCCTGGACCAGCTAAAGAAGTTATATTACGTAGTTCTTCAAGAGAGACGGGCTTCCAAGGGACTGACACATACATATATTACAAAAAAAAATCCACCATATCTGACCACGATTCGGGAAAAATTAAAAAAGCGCCCCCTCGATTAAGCACCTCCCTGGAATAAGCGGCCCCTGTCTTCTCCTAAATTTGATATAAGCGCCCCGGGCGCTAATTCGAGGATTTACGGTATGGCTGATCCCAGTGAGGTGAGTGCAGTCAGCCATTTACAAGCTCGCAATCAGAAACAAGGGATAATTTTAGAGATTTTTCCGAGAATTTTAGAGTTTTTTTAGGAACACTCCGGAAAGAATTTTAGACCATTTTTCGGGGATACATTGCCCAAGGGTGTACAATTACAGTTATCCAATAACATCTTCTTGTAGCTGGACACCTGCAATTGGATACCTACGCCATTCGCGCGTCAATTACGTGAGCCTTAATGTCTTCCTTCTTTCCTTTATTATTCAGGAAGTAACTGCTCGAGGTAATTTTAATATCGGACGAGCGCCCAGCGCGGGGTCGATTTGAAATTACGGCCACGATTACTACTCTGTGTAGCCTGCGAACGCAGACGTATTTCCGGCTGTCGCTTGTCTCCGCCGAATAATAACGTCTGCGAAGTTGAGCCAGGAAACGATTTCTGTGACGTAGGAATTTTAAGCCAATCACAGTTTAGTTCAAGTAACCCCAGAACTACTGCGCGAGGTATTCGCTGCGAGGAGCACTCGAGTTTTATTGTATCATGGAATCTGATTGGCCAAAGAGAAACAAAAGTCATTACGTCACAGAAATCGTTTCCTGGCTCAACTTCGCAGACGTTATTTTTCGGCGGAGACAAGCGACAGCCGGAAATACGTTTGCGTTCGCAGGCTATACTCTGTGCGACGTGAGGTCCAATAAGTTTCTGAAGTTTTACCACAACTCATAGGCCCTCGACAGAAACGCTATATTGTCTATATTTAAATTGAGAGCGAATAATATAATTGTGAAACAGTATGGTTTGCCCTTACTTACCGAAGTGAAAGCTGTAACAGCAAGCAAACCGAAGCCGCGCCACGCGGAGGACACAACTGCAACGCTACACAACGCTCCATCTGTAGTCGCCCGAGAAACTCTGAGCAATCTGGTATCGAATTGATCTGCAAAATGGCGGTGGGAACAAATTGTTTGTAAAGCGTGTTTGAATACTCTTCACCGGAGAGCCCGTTTATGAAAGATTTCAGTGATTTCTTAGGGCATTCAAAGGATTGAAAGGTAGCACTCAATTCACGTGAAATTAGAAATTACTGGGAACAGTGCGCCTACAAATAGACAACTTTGATGTTTGAATTTTGTCAAATGTGCCATTTGTCTTGTAGTCTCTCGTTGTAGAAGAATGATGATCTAAGTTGTGTCTTTTGTAGTGGATCTTCCGCGGTTTTCAGCTTTTCAAGGATGCTTTAATCGTTACGAATGTTACGAACAAATTTATCGTAATATTTTAGCTAGGTTGAAATCACTTATCGTTTGCAAAGCCACCTATGATTATTTTTGTTGCAAAGTGTAGTAGATTTTGTTCAATTATTGTGATTACTCCACTTTGTAACCATCGTTCATTATTATTACTTTCAGTTGAAAATCTCGTGGCTTAAACATTTGTTGACTTTCAATTTGTGATGAACTGATCTGGAGATCTTGAAGATGAGTTCGTCCGCAGCAAAGGTATAGTTTAATTGCGTTTCATATATCTGGCGATTTTTACTTTTAATTTATTGAGCAATAGTTGAATTGTTGTTTATACATGTACTACCCCAGCTCCATTTTCCTCTTGTCACAGAGACTACAAATGTAAATGAATATTGTCACCATTTTGAACATTGATATTTAGGTAGCGGAGATTTTCACTGCTGCAGGAGAAGCTTTTTCTCATTTAGGAGAGCTAACAATGCAGCTTCATCCATTAAATAATGAGACTGGTATACTGTCTCCATCAGCAACAACAATGAGGTATGTAATCTGAAGACCACTCATCCCCCTTCTCCCTGGGCATTGTACAAGTCTCAGCAGTGGAGCAAATGACAATAATGCAAATGTCAGCCATGTGGGTCAAAAATTTATTTCATGATTGATGATAAAAGCAACAATTGTTCCAAATAAATGGATCTCGGTTAATACCTGTAGACATATTATTGTCATGATTTGTGGAAGCAAAATTAGGTTTGATTTCCACCGCTCTCTCGAACCTGTCCACAATCCTCTCTGAGAAGAGACAGCTGGATGCGTGAGCAGCAAACCAAATCTGAATTCATATTTTAATTCATGCAGGGCTCCTGGTCGGGAGAAGTGTAAATTATCTGATTTTGATGTGAACAGGCCCACATGACACCAACATGTACAGCTCAAAATATTTGTACAATTGCTGGTCTCTTTTTTGCAAAAAATATTGGTCTTAAACCTATTTTGTTTTACATAATGCCACAGAAGGGCATTATATGCTGTGTTCTAGGAAAAAGTATTTCAAGATTTTAAGTAGAGCAGAGCCATTCAACTGGTGAAGCAAACGTCATGTCAAAGGTCACATGTAGGTCTGCATGGTTTCCTCTGTGAAGTTGATGCCCGATAATTTGCCATGTTCTGTATGTTTTTAAAAATTTATTTTTGTCAGGCCTTGCTAGAGACTGATGTGGCTTTCCTTCGCAAGACTATACATTAATTTGACTTTTGTTTGTTATCTGACATTCTGGCACCACATGATTCAAATTTTTCCTACTATGTAGGCCAAATAAGGAAAACCTCGGTTTTCCAAGCAGCATCTTTTGGAGTGAATCCTTCGAAGGTGGATTTCGACGCAATGCGAACTTAAACGGTTACTTTTAGCAGCTTCGACCGGTGGTTTTTTCTTAAATAGAAGTTTTTATTTTTGAAAGAAGTAGAGAAATAGACCGGAAAAAAAAATCGACCAACCTAGTATCAAACCGTTGTCACTGCAAAACAAACTCAAATCCAGCCCATTTAGCACCTTACACTGTATTCACTTGCGCTAACAAAGCAACGTAATTATATGAATAATAACAGTTGTATTGGTTCAAACAACTAGTGGCAAATGCCAAGCTTCGGTGATTTCATTGTTTAGCAAAACAAAAGGTTTCTTTTGTTTTTCGTTCAACAAAAGATCTCCAAAAGATCTCCAAAAATACCCTTGGAAAACTGAGTTTTTTGCATATGTTATTTCTCGAAAGCGAAGTGCAAATCAACAAAAACAATTATGGAACAATACTTTTCATGTCAGAACAAGTCAGTCTGCCAAAAATTAGCTTGATCCTGAAAAAATTAATATCAGCCCAAAAAGCTATATATGCCCTTTTTGCACAACAACCTTCAATTACGGTTTTTTGACTGTAAAAAACTTGAAGTTATTGAAAAACAATGATGGCCATGCACACAACTGTACAAAATAATTAATGTAATTTCAAGTGACAATTCAGTTTGAGCAATCTTTACAAGGTGCGAAGTTTGATAGTACATGACTTGCATGTTGAGAAATAATAAGAAACCATAAATAATATGAGGTACATGTAAATTTCAAATTCCACGGTGACACCAACAACCTAGGTTTACTGTGTCCCTGGAGGTTCATTTTCTTCTCTTCCGTCCCAGTAACATTTGAGCCTGCAAATCATCGTTGGTATTGATGCCTTTCATTACAAGTTAATATAGAGTTCAAATACTTGGGTTTCTTTTAGCAAGTAATAAAATTTTTTTTTTTTCTTATTTCTAGCAACAGTGGAAAGTGGGGAGATGAGGAAATTGAAATGTTAAGGGGTGCAGTGAAGAGATTTGGAGATGATTTAAAGAAAATCAGCGGACAAATCAAGACAAAATCTGTGTACGGATTTGTGTGGTTTGTTTGTTCATTGGTTATAAAGTTTCGGGCCAGTTTGTTCTTTAAATCAGTTATTCAATCTTGATATAATTACTACATGTATTTATTATGTTTTAATAACACTAGAAAAATATAGACTGGTTTAATAAATATACATAGAACAAGAAGTAATTTTTAAGTACAACACAGTGAATTGTCCATTTTGTTTCCAAAATCTTTATAATCCATGGTGTGCAAGTTCTACATGTAAATGATACAGATTGTACAGGTATAGTATATAATTTATTTAGTCAAGATGTATTTCACTTTGGAACTAAGGGAATATATTCACTCTGCATCTGTTATCCAATATCTTCTTTTGAATTTTGTAGAGGAAATCTATGAAACAGCAGCCAGTTAAGTTATAGAATATTTTTAATTCCTTTATTAGAGCACAAATAAAATCTGCATTGAAGAAAAGGATCCATGAACAAGAAAACTCTTCACAAAGTGCACAGAAAACAAAGAGTAAAATATCACAGCAAATAATCTCCTCTAGTGAGCCACCAAACAAGAAAAGAAAATCAGAAGGTAAACATCTATACATATATATACAAATTTTTTATATCATGTGACATATGTCCTGATAACAGCAATAAAGTGTACAAACTGTGACAAATCACAGACTGGTAGCTCAGGAAATTTACAATGCTGTAACAGCAAAAATAGGAAATGGTGAAAATAATATAAACTGTTATGCAAGGCAAGCAAACATTTGGAGGAAAATGTCCTATTTGGGGGAGGGGGGTATTGTCCCTACTCTTGCAGCAAACAGATGAGTTCCTAAGATATAATATCAATTAAAGATTTAGTACATGTATACAACTTCCAATAACAAACTTAACTCCAATTTGCAGTGAAATTTCAGTGGTGTTGTAAAATTAATTTAAATTAGTTATATTAATTATAATTTATTTGGATTTTTTGTTTCAACCTTAAATGGTTTAAATACAAATATAAAAAATATGGTCT